TTCCCTCTGGTCTATCACCCCACATTCCAGGTCTCCATCGGTCTGAAGGAATCATGGATTCGCTGGTGGTATTTCCCCCACCCTGGTGGAGAACCGGGTCTGGCGACAAGCTGCCTTAATATTGCATTCCTTTTCAATACACGACCCCAGAATAGATGAAGGGCCGTGAAGGGTCTAAGATAAAGCAAGAGTTCCTGGAGAGGCTGGGGATGAAAGGACGGCGAGTTCAGCCTTCAAGGACTTGGTCTCTGATTTATTTTTATTTATTGCTGCTCAAGGAAATTGAATTGCGTTTATTAAACGAGGCCTCTTGGGCAAAGTCCTACCCAGCATTCTCTCCAGACTCGCAACCCGAGGAGCCACACACAGGCTGACCCCGGACTTCAGCAGTGCTGGCATTTCGCAGAGAACCGAGACCTTTGATAGGCAGCTAGTCTCTGCTTAGGACTGGGCCAACGCGATTCCGCCTTGGCCTGCTAGCCCCGGCTGAGAGCATTCAGGAGCTGCGGGCCGCTCCGCCTCCTCCGGGTCTTCGCTGGGCGACCCTGCTTCCCCTCCCCCTCTCCGCTCCCACTTGTTGCGGGCCAGCCAGGGACCTGCTTGTTTCGCCGGCTGATGGTAAAAAGGTTTGGCTTGAGGCTGGCTGACCCGGGGTCAGGACTTTGTCCGCAGTAATCCTGCGGCCTTTAAACACAAAACGCTGCCCTCGCCCCTCGCATCCCTCATCTTAATTTCCCACCGGCCTCCTGGCAGGCGTGGACACAAACAAGGTGGGCGCCAAACCGCACCCACCATCCCCCGCAAGGACAGACACGCGCGAAGAGGGGACGCGTGGTTTCTGTGCACCGACTGGACGCGGACCTCCTTCCCTTCGGGCTGTAGCGTCTAGGAAGGGAGCAGAGCTCGGCTTCGGAGGCGGGAAGTAGCGGAAAGACAAAGGGAGGGCCTGGCGCGAGGGAAAACTGAGCCCGGGCCCAGGCGCAGCAGTCAGAGGGCGAGGGCAGCTGAGCAGAAGCGGTGGACAGCGAGGGCGGAGGAGAGGGACACGAGGGAAGAGCGCAGGGCCGGGGTTCCGCGGCACCAGAGATGGACAGGCGGGCGCAGGGTAGAGGGTGCCGGGGCGCGAGCCCCCTGGAGGCCGGTCCGCGCCCGGAGGGGTCCTGGACCCAACACCCGGCCCCAGGGCGCCGCCCGCCGCCGTGCAGCCCCGCTGGTTCCTGGGGCGGGCGGAGTGGGGTCCTGCGGGGCGCAGCTGGAATGAAAGGGCCGAGCAGGAGGAGAGAGAAGGCGGTCAGGGAGCAGGAGGGAGGGGTGCTGCGTCCCAGCCCCCAACCTGGCGCGCTGCGGACTGGGAGACGCTGATGGACCCGAGGGCGAGGGTGCTGCCGTCCCAACCCCCCCACCCCCCCGCCTCCCCGGGGGCCAGCGTCTTTCAATCCTGCTAAATAGTCACTGCGCCAAGACCAAGTCTGCTTTTCACTTGAACTTTTCCAGGAATCTAACCTATGATTACGTTCTGGCGTTCTGGCCGGGTAACATGGAGCTTTTGGGCCCCCGCGGCTGAAGCCCGGTGAGGGGCAGGGCGTGACCATAGAGCCCTGGGGGCCCAGAGCCTAGGGTGCTGGACCCCGGCTGGGGACAGCTTGCTTTCCCGCGCTCCTGGAGCACGAGGGCGGGCTTCTCGAATTAACTGGAATTTTCCGGAGACAGAGCTTGGCGGTGCCCAGTCTTTGTCGGGAAAATGAAATGCGTGAAAATGAGTGTTATTCTTCTCCCACACGCATGATTTTAATAGACCTATCAGTCACACTCCCGACACATCTGCGGATCAGGCGCACTGCGCCCGAAACTCCTCTATAAAATTAATTCGTTTCATCTGCCTACTGGTGGGTTTGAGGGAGGGTGTCAAACTCTCAAAAGGCAACAATAACCAGGGGACCTGTGAGCTAAAAAACAGGCGAAAACGAGGGGGAAAGAATAGGAGAGAAAGGAAATGAGAGAGAGAGAGAGAGAGAGAGAGAGAGAGAGAGAGAGACTGATTTTGACTCAAGCAAACCACCCGGCCGAGTTAACTGGCCCTGTGTAGTTAGTGACTCGTGACTGTTTAGTTTAGGAAGAAGTCACCCAGGTGCCCTGCACGAAGTTATGAAAACTTTGTCCAGGCTTCAGAAAGACCACCTCCTATTATCCACACGTTTCAAACAAAATCACATTAATGGAAAAAACAAAACACTTCCCCCGTACTTTGGACGCGCATTATCATGTAATAATGGCCATACAGCATCTCACTTCATGAATGCAATACCAATTACTTGGCTAGAAACTGAATTTGTCCTGAGTTAGGCATCTAAGGCCTAGTGGAAGAGACTTCCCAGATTTGGGGGGGGGGGCTCAATTTTGAGATGAATCTCAGCTAATCCTCCTCCCCCACTGTTTTCAAATTAAGTCACTAGAGAATTACTTTTTGCCCTTCTCACCAGTAGAACCAAAAGGAAGGAAGGTAGCTTGAAATGCCTGGTACCAAGAATTGCAGCTGACTGGATAGAGCTCAGGTAGTGATACACCAAACTCTTCAGGTCTTGAGGAGGGGCTGGGCTGCCCAGGATTCTTATATTCTCAAGGCAAGTAACATTTTGTGGTCTGCTGCACTTAAAGTAGGTTGTTAACTAATAAGCATAGGTAGCCTGGATTTAGGCTTAGCTGTCCAAAGTGAAGACACAGGAACCCCAGAGGCCCAGACAAACACAGAGGTGAACATGGCTGTGCTGTCTCCCACAAAACTAATAAGGTGATGTGGAGGTCTAGTCAGCAAAGGCCCTCTGAGAATTGCTGAGGGTGGAGTAGGTGTGCTGAACTCTGGAAGCACTGGGAATTTCCTGCAGAGGTGGCCCTTGGCACTTCTTCCCAGACCTTCTCACATTGCTAAGCCCTCTGAAACCCACAAGCAAGCAAACACTTCTAGAAACAACAGAGCAAAACCCTAAAAGAAAAGTGAAGAAAGGAAAAAGGGGGTGCTTTTATTACCTTATTAGAAAGCAGTGGACATCGTTCTTGAATATTTTGCAGTCATTTTAAGGAAAGGGGTTTAAGTGAAATTATCAGAATGACTAAAAAAAATCACATCTCTTTCGAGATTAGCATTGTACTTAAAGCTAGTCTCTAATGCAGGCTGAGTTCAGTTCTTAACAAATTGATAGAATAAGCCCACTTTTGAATGGTTAATCCATACTCATTCCAAGACAAGACAAGATATTGAGGGAAAAAATGAGGGAAGAGGCTGATGAAATAAGCATTATTTCCCATCTGGACTTAAAGATAATTTCTTTCAAAAATAGAATTTCATCCTAATGTCATGATTAATTTCAAAACATTTGCTACAGCGTAACTTTTAAAATGCAATATTTAATGCTGTCAGATTACTTGAAGACAAAAGTTTTACAGAAAACTTTAAATTCCAGGAAAAACTGCAATGTACCAATAAACACCTAGAAAAAATATAATTAAAAAATTAAAGCATCAAACAACCTCAAGATCCAATCAGGAATAATAAACATGGCATTTTGCGTTTACATCGCTAGCAACTTGCATCCCATTTCACGCAAGGGAGGGGATGGCTGTTTTTATGTGTGAAAATCAGAAAAATTATTTTGCACTTTCCCAGAGAGGAAGAGAGGGAGGGGCTGCGGCTGGCCTCGGGTAGGGAGGTGGCTGAGGTGGGACCGGGTTGAGGGATTCAGTGGTGGTGCGTTTTAGTTGAGGAGAGCTTCCTTGAACCAAATGCAGATAATTCCACCTATAATTCCACTGTAGGAGAATCAAAGGCACCCTGTCTTGGCAGGGGTCTTTCTCCCCCACATCCTTGAACTGGTCCCACCACTGGGCACTGACCTTACTCTTTCGGACCAGGACCAAGCTGCCTCAAAAATACTACCGCAGGTGGAGGGCAGAGCCACAGATGAGAAAACGCAAAATAGGCCAGTGCCGGCTGTGGTGCAAAAGCTAAATCATAGGGAGGTGTTTTTGTAATTTCTCCGTCTGTATTAACTTCAACTCTACAAAATAATCTATGAAGTTTAACTTTTTTCTCTCCCACTGAATAGAGCTCCTGAAAACCCTGCTGTCTGCTCCCTGGGGGTACCCTTCGGTCCTGCTGATAATTTCTCTTCCAGCTGATCACTAACTGTATTTTGAACTCATAAAACATGCATATAAAATTAGCACGTTTTAATTTAATAGGGAAAATGGGCTTTTTCCTCTCTTACATGTATTAATTCAAATCTTGATGTATTTTTAGATCTTTTTTTGTTGTTTTTAGATGAAAGGCTTGTAGGCTATGTACATAATCTGACTCCTCCTCCCTGCACCGCAACGCCTAAAATAAAAATTTCACAATGCATTTACAAGAAATAAGATACAGAAAGTTTTACAAAACCCAGAATATAACGCCACCGTCTGTGAGGGAATCTCTGTATAAATTAACAAACCAACCCAAAAGAGCGGTAACAACTACAAAAAACTTGTAATGTTTGGATCTGCCTTACTACATTTATAACAAATGAGAACAGCTCGAGGTCGGTCTCTTGGCCTCAGGCAGACAAGCCGGCGGGTAACAAGACCGGGTAAAAAGTCAGAGCGCCGGCCGGAATACAAAAGTTGGCATCGCCTCGCTGGGTTTTGTCTTTTGCCCTCTAGAGCAGACAAAAACGCTTTCTGCCTCCTCTGTGGACGATAAATACTGTACAAAAGGTCTCAAGAAAACATCGAAGTTCAGTCTAAGACACCAGTCATGTGTCCGCGCCTCGGGAGCTCGGGGAAAGATGAGCGAGGGCAGGTGTCACCCGGTGCTCGCGTCTCCAGGGCGATCGTTTTTTTCCAAGAACCTGGAAAGTCTGCACAAAAGCTAGGCTGCGCTGGGCCGCGCTGGACGCTCCAGCGCAGGCCCCGCGCTCTTCGCCAGGTCCCCGGCCTCGAGCCGCAGTGTCCCCGGCGTCCCGGAGGCGCTAGATGTGCGTCAGGGGCACCGTGCCGTTCACGCCCGCGCCCGCGCCCTGGTAGTGCTGCGGCAGCGAGTGCAGCCTGCTCTGTGCCGCGGCGGCCGCCGCCGCAGCCGGGTCGCCACCTTCGCCGGCTGGCAGGTACATGCTGATCATCTCGCGCAGGTCCCCGGGGCATGGCGCGCGCGAGTGCGCGGGGGCGGGCGGGCTGCCGCTCGGCTCCGACTTGACCAGAGAGCCCAGCGCTCCCAGGGCGCCCGTGGAGGCGGCCGCTGCCGCCGCCGCCGCCGCCACAGCAGAGTTCTGGTGCGCGCCGCCTGCAGCGGCGGCAGCCGCGGCTGCGGCCCCGTAGGGAAGGCCACCGTAGCCCGAGGGAGACGCGCTCATGTAGCCCTGAGAGTTGGAGATGGGGCTGTACTGCAGCGCGCCCATGTCGTAGCGGTGCATAGGCTGCGGGTTGTGAGGATGCGCGTGAGGGTGGTGCGGGTGCGGATGCGCGGGGTGCGCGTGCGGATGCGCGCCGCCTGCGCCCGGGTGCTGCCCGTAGGCCAGCTGCGCCTCCTGCATCATGGCTGCGGCTGCAGCCGCCGCGGCCACCGAGCCGGGGTAGGCGCCGTTAGCCCAGCCGTTGACGTGCGCGTAGCCGCCTCCCGCAGCGCCGCCCGGACTCTCCAGGCGCTGGCCCACGGCCGCCGCACCGACGCCCACTCCCACGCCCATGGCCACGGCTGCGCCGCCTCCGCCCGCGCCTGCCGCCAGCAGCCCACCGGCCAGCGAGTACTTGTCCTTCTTGAGCAGCGTCTTGGTCTTGCGGCGCGGCCGATACTTGTAATCCGGGTGCTCCTTCATGTGCAGCGCGCGTAGCCGCTTGGCCTCGTCGATGAACGGCCGTTTCTCGGCCTCGGACATGACCTTCCATTCGGCCCCCAGGCGCTTGCTGATCTCCGAGTTGTGCATCTTGGGGTTCTCCTGGGCCATCTTCCGCCGTTGTCCGCGGGACCACACCATGAAGGCGTTCATGGGCCGCTTGACCCGGTCCTGGTTGGCCTTGGTGCCGCCACCGCCCCCGCCTCCGCCCCTTTTTTGCCCCCGCCCGCCCCGGCCGGGCCCGAGAGGTTCGTGGGCGCCTGGGCACCGCCGGGCGAGTGCAGGTCGGTCTCCATCATCATACTGTACATCGGGGCGGCTCGCGGGTTCACCGGCACCGCAAAGTGAGCGCCTGGAGCATAGACGGCCGGGTGGGGGGAAGGTGGAGAGAGGATCAGCTCAGCGACTATGGTGGGGGGTGCCTAGCAGAGAGAAGGGGGTTGGGTGGAGGCGACAACAAAAAAAGAGGCAAAAGCACACGCACTTAGCGCAGGTCCAGCTTGCTGGTGGAAAGTTTCTCCTCGTGCACACACCACTTGCCAGAGAGGCCGATGGCCAGAGTGGTCGCTGACGCCGGTGCCGCAGTCCGGTCCCCCTCGGCTAAGCTGTGCAAACAGGTGCAGTCGTGGCCAAGTTGAAGCTCCACTTTCTGGGCCTGGAGCGGTGCCAGTGGGCCCGACCCGGGGCTCGCTGCCTCCTTTTCGCCGGCTGCCTCCTTCCTCGGGTGCCGGCTTCCTTAGCGGCCTCCAACTCTGGGGCCGCAACTTCTAGCAGGGCGGCGCGCCGCGTGCGCTGGGCATGTGCTGGTCCCAGGTGCCCGACTGGAGCTAGGAGCCGAGTGGGGTTCGGAGGGGGCCTCTGAGGGGGCGATCCCGGTGCAGCCAAGTGTATGTGTGGGGGTCAGCGGAGGGAGTAGGAGCGCGGGCAGAGAGAGAGAGAGAGCCAGAGAGCCGGGCCGCTGTCCTCAGGACGGGCTGTCCGCTGCTTGCCGGGGGCCGTGCGCTCGGAGCGGAGGCGCACGCGGGGCCGGTGGCGCGCGGGGCCCAGCAGCCATACGCCGGGCCCGGGCTGCCATTAAATGAGTGCGCCGCGGCCAATGGGAGCTGCCGGCAGCGGTGATTTGCATGGCGCGCTGGCGAGTGACGTGGGGAGGGAGTAGATACACTGGGCGCGGGCGGCTGAGCGAGGAGGAGAAGGGGGAGCAAGGGCAGGAAGGAGGGGGGAAAAGGGGCGCAGGGGGGCGGGGTCGTAGCCACACTGCTTCCTGAGCGCGCGCGCCGTGGCGACGGCGGCGAACCCCTGAGCTCGTTCCCTCTGCCTCCCCGCCCGCGCGCTCCGAATGATTAACGATTGGGTTTAGAACCAGAGGAAGAAAAAATCGCTGGGGGTGATGATGGGGGGGGGGGCGGCGGAACAGCCCTGGGCCGGGTTTAAATGTTCTCATAGGAGACCCAGCTCCTCCCCTGTCCCCAGCCAGCCAACTCTGCGCCAGCAGCGAAAGGGAAAGTTGGAGATAGAGGCCGCATTTCTCGCCCAGCTCAGCCGAGTGCAGATTTAGAGCGGAGCCGGGGAGATCTTCCCAGGGGGCTTAACCCCAGATCACCGCCGCGGGTTCTCCTGCTGGGATGGGTCTGCTCAGTCACTCCCATCTCCCGTTCTCAGAGTTTCTTTCAGGGTGTGTGTGTAGATTTCTCCAAGCACAGCTCTATACAAGGCCTTCACAGTCCGGGCTCCATAATTCGGGCATCAGGGAAGGGAGCGGGGAGAGCTTTTGTGTGGCTCATGGCTCGTAACTTCCTTCAGTATCTGCCCTGAACTCTTTTTTATGGGGGGGGGTGTCTTTTAATGGGCCTGAGTGTTACAGTCAGGTCTTTCCAATTTAGCGTCTTTCTCTTGAATTTCTCGGAAAGTCAAAACCAACAAGATCCATCATCTAGTCACTCCATCAGTCAAAAAAGTTTGTTGAAATTGCAAAAGAATATCTACCCCACAGTTTTTCTCCCAAAAGGTGTTTGCCAAACAACGAAAACCGTGCGTGTGTATGTGTGTGTGCGCGTGCGCGCGCGTGTCTGCGCGCGTTTGGGGGTCGGGGGTTGAAACCGAATTGAAAGGTGGTTGAAAGGTTCCTCCTGACTTGGAGTCAGATGCCTTCATTTTATTTTACTTTATTTTTTCTTCCTATGTTATGAGAAAGAAAGGCCGATTCTGGGGATGACTGAGGCCTTCACCTGCGGATGTAATTCTTTAACTTCAGAATCCGTATGCTTCTGGGATGTACAAGAGATTTTCAACCAAACCTCAGACTATATGGGCTCAGATAGGGATGTGGTCCAAAGGCTTCTTCCAGAAAATCTGGAGCCCAGTGGTTCCTCCCATGTTTTGGGGACAGAGGGAGCCTTTCCACTCGCATCCTGACATGGAAGTGCCTGAAGAGAGATTGGTGGTGGCAAAGCAGGCCTTAGCCTAATGCCTGCAGATTGCCCCTTTTATAATCCAAAGGCCCTTTCTATGATGCTAATATGGATAAGGAATAAGGATGTTCCAGTGTGTTGGACAGTGAACATGTGATAGGTTTTTTTTTTTTTTTCTGGTAACAATGTTGGTGGCTGAATTTCCTGACCCTGTTGCTTCCTTGCTATGATTATTACAGATCCCCTCCCTCCCTACCTCCCTCCCTCCCTTCCTTCCTTCCTTCCTTCCTCCCTCCCTTCCTCCCTTCCTCCCTCCCTCCCTCCCTCCTTCCCTCCTTCCCTCCTTCCTCCTTCCTTCCTTCCTTCCTTCCCTGGGTTGCTGCAGCAGGCAGTGACGAATCCCTCTCTCTGCAGATTCAGTTACTTTCATTTCAGGTCATTCAGCACTTAGCAGTAAACTCATCAAATAATATAGAATTATGCTAGAAAAGAAACATCATTTCATATTTGTTTTTGCTAAATATCTAGGTTACAAATTCGGTTTTCAACGACCTCCTTACTTCAGCATTCAAGTTTGTTAAATCTTTTATTTGTTTCTTGCACTACATACAAATATCAGTTACATTGTGAAGGAACAAAAACCAGAACAGGAATATTGTTGAAGAATGCTATAGGCCCATTTCCCTCTGATAATTTAAGAGGCAATGGGTGTGCAGAGAGATCCACTGAGCTAGGAAAAGTCAGCAAGACTGAAATAAAGGAAATGGTTTACAAATTATAAACTGTATTATCCACTTAGCAGTTGAAAGATTTCTTTCCTGTGCTTTTCAATTTAGATTTTAAACTAAATAGTCGAAGACCCCCTGAAAAACGCTTTGTATGGATCAAGCTTGGCACATTATTTTCCATATCAATGGAGCAATTTATTTTATAAACACCCCACACTCCAGTGTGCTTTGCACGAATGCTTTATGCTTTGGGGAACTTGGATAGCTGACTTTGAAATGCTCCCATTTCTTTCTACCACAGCCATGAACATTGTTTCCAAATAGGATGTTACCCTTGTTTTTCTGAGCATCTAAATAGGAGGTAAATGGTGTCAAGCTGCACCCACCATGTTAGTGCTTGTCCTTCAAGGCACTGCTCCCCAGAAGCCGTTTTCAGTGATAAGAAACAGTTCCCAGCCTAAGCGGGGTGTGAGTCCTATGGGTGCCCTTCTGCGGAGGTATGAAACCAGAGATGCAGGAGTAACTTGTTGCCAAGTGACAGAAGATTGTCGGCAGGAGCCTGTGCCAAGTAGGCAGTGGTAGGGCACTGTGTGCCAGACCACCTCTTGCCTTCCATCCCAGCACCAAGGAGCATTACAACTCCTGCCAGTGAAGGCTTCTGGAAGCCTGTTTCTTGCTCCTTTCTCTGCTCCCTTCCCCAGTGACTGTTCACACAAAGAGAAAACAGTCCAAAACCAGTTTGATAAACACCTATCTGTTTCTCACCCCTCTCTCTATTGGGTCAGTGGGATCTCCTCCCAGTTCAATGCCTTCCTAAAAGCCAGATGCCGGAGGGTTTGAAGACCGACTGTACCATGTCCAAGTAATGCCAGAAAAAGCCAGGAACCCAAGGCAAAAGATTAGTTTCACTGTTGACTGACCAAATTTACTCTCTTGGCAACTCCGAAATTTCACTGTGCCACTGCTCAAAATGCCATAGATCAGCTTGAAATGTGGCTAAGTTTTTAATTTAGCTTGTGGTCATAATCCTCAGAAAATTGAAGTCCAACCCATTGCTAGAGGAAATTATTTGCGCAGGTATGCATATGCATCTGTATATGTAAATACGCACACATAAAGTATGCAAGTGCATATATGTAAGGGATTTGTTTGAGCAACTGCACAAAAGCCTTAACTTTCAAATAAATCGAGTCCTAGATTTTAACACCATAAACTCAAAACTGCTGATGCGGAGTAACTAATGTTTTTCGCATTGTGCTCATGAGAAATCTGGGAAACAGAGCGGGTCCCTTTGGACAGAATCCTTTGCCCCCTAGCAATCTTTTCGTGGAAACTGGCTCTCAGACATATCGACATGGGTTTGCTGTGCTCAGTGTTAGTCTCAAGCTCCAAGCAAGTGTGTGTTGGATAGGCTTAAGGCGACATTATAGGACTAGGAATTCTATGCGATGTTCGGACAGCCTGCCCGGGTGACATTCTCCAGGTGGCCTGATCCGAGGCTTTCTAAAGGCTGGTGGGGGCTTGGAGGAATGAGGCCACGTACAATCGCCTTCTGGAGCCCCCAGGAGTGAAGCCTTCCAGGCTCTGGTTTCTCCCCTCAAAGGGCTGAAATAGTAGTTCAAGAAAGATCACCAGAGAACAGAGTGTTCCTAAGCGGGACTGCGGAGGGAAAAAGTAATCTTTGGTAGTAGGAGACGGTGCAGACATCTCAGGAGGGGGAAAGAACACTGTAAGTTAGCAGAGGCCTTAGAGGTCACCTCGGCCAACAGGAGGCGCAGATCCTGGGCGAGGTGGAGGAGGAATTGTCTGGGAGGGGCTCTGCTGCGGCCTTTGCACCGAGAGGGGCGGACGCAGAGGCTGCGTTTCTATCTACGCGCCCGGCCGCTGGAGGTGAAGAGGACCCGGCCAGGCTGCGGGCTCAGGCCCGGAGCCCCCACAGCGCATCAGTGCGGACCTTGCCGCGTTGTGGGTCGCGATCGCCGTCTGCTGGCCGCCACCACCCCCGCTGCCCTCGCAGAGCCACCTTGGGCTGGTCTCTGCGTTGCGATGGCGCCCCGTGCCCAGCGCGACCAGGCACAGCCTCGCTGCACTGGCCGCGCGCAGTTCAGTGTTAGCCTTGTAGCGGGCGCTTCTGACCCGGACTCAAGGGGGCGTCGTCTCTCCTGGGTCCCCAGGCGCTCTCAGCGGATTTCATGGCTCCCAGCCCAGGCTAACTCGGCCGATTCTTTGCAAACAAAGCGAAAAGGTGCCAAATAACAAAGTTTGCTGTTGGCTTGATTCTGAAAGTAGGGAAAGAAACGCGGTCCAGATAAAGACGGAAATCAGGGGTCGGGAAAAGGAAGAAAATCGCTTGCAAATGAGGAACTTTGTGCGATCTCAGTGCCGTTAGGAGCAGCCCCAGAGCCCACCTCTCCAGCCGCTCAAGGCATAAATGCTCAGAGTCTTCTCCAACCGAAACCACCTCTGGGTTTGGAGGCCGCTCCAGCAGCGCCTGGGGGCAAACTGTAAATAAAGTGCTGGCGTCTGGGCAGCCAGGCGCGCATTCCAGCCATCAACTGGGGGATCCGCGCACACAGTGGAGAGCCGGGTACTGTGTGTGCATGCGTGCCTCCTAGCTCTCTGGGTGGAAGCATTCGGAAAATCTCTGGGAGCTTCGAGTAGGGGCTCACCCTGTGAGCAGTACTCACACATATAATTCAAATTTCACAGCTGACCTGCTCTGAAAACCTCAATCAGCTTCTAATTGAAGGGAAAACAAAATATTGCTTCCCTACAGCAGAGCTAACGATTTAATCATTATATCAGACATTATAGCTTTTAATTAGGCTAATGCTGATACTGTATGGAAAGAGATAATTCAACACAGTTCTTGATGAATTCTGTAATTGGGTTAAC